ACTTTTGATTTTTGCTCACTGAGTATGATGTGTACTGTAGCTTTGTCATATATGGCCTTTATTACATTGAAGTATGATCCCTCTTCCTACTTTGCTGAGAGTTTTTATCAAAAAGAGTGTTGGGTTTTGTTGAATGCTTTTTCTTTGTCTATTGATATGATCAGGTGATTTTTATATTTCGATCTGTTTATGTGATGTATCACATTGAATGAATGGAGAAGAAATAGATTTTAAAGCATTATAGGAAAACTAGAGGCTCAGTGCACAGATTCATGCACCAGTAGGATCCTTCAGTCTGGCCTCATCCTTTTGCAATCTGGGACCCCTCAGGGGATATCAGATAGCAGGTTTTGGCCCGATCTCTGCAGGCTTGAGTCAGACAGGAGGGAGCCTGATCCCCGCTGGCCCGATCCCCACAGGCCCGATCCTGTGTATTGAGCGTCTGTCCCTTGGTGGTCAGAGTGCGTCATAGCGACAGGTCGACCAGTCATTTGGTAGCTTAGACTTTCATATATATATAAATAGGATGCTCACTATAGATAAATCTAGATAAAAGCTGAATACTAATCACATTAAGGCATAATGTCGCAGTGCTTTATCTGCATACAAATTATAAATGTACAAAAAGAAGCAGGGCAGGTTCTTTCCCTGTGTTATACCTAGCTAATTCAAAGCCTTGTGTGCAATACATGCTCATTAAATTTAGTTGTATTGATGAAAAAATAAAAACCAACCTAAGCATGTTATTACAATGAAGTATTTAAAAATAGGTTATGTTAGGTTCTTAGTAATTAAAATGAGCTGACTTTGATTAATATTGCCCTGACCAGTTTGGCTCAGTGGATAGAGTGTCAGCCTGCAGACTGAAGGGTCCCAGGTTCGATTCCTGTCAAGGGCATGTACCTTGGTTGCAAGCACATCCCCGGTGGTGGGTGAGCAGGAGGCAGCTGATTGATGTTTCTCTCTCATCAGTGTTTCTAACTCTCTATCCTTCTCTTTTCCTCTCTGCAAAAAATCAATAAAATATATTTAAAAAAATATTAAGTGTTAGCCAGTTTTGAAATACCAACTTTCAAAGGCTTATAAATAGTAAAGAGTCACAACTCTGGCACTAATTTGGTGTACTGGGAGCCTAATAGGGTTACATGTCCTTAACACATTGTTTGTGGGTAGTTTTTATCGCGCGCTAACAGGTGGCGCCGGCTATTTTGGCTAATTTTTTGCGCAAATGGCAGCATTCAGTAAAATTATGATCACTTTAGTTTAAAAAATTTCCGGGAGCCGTTCCATCCTTGCTGTTTCAAGGGACCTGGCATATATGGCATACTGTTCTTAATATATTTGCTCACCTTCTTGGCACTATGTGTTTTAACCAAGGTCACCTCT